GTGTCGCCTGGGCCTTGTGCGGCTGCGGCGTCGCCCCCGCGGCCCGTCCGGCCCCTGTCACCCCGGGGGCTGGAATGGGGCGGGGGGGGGAGGAGCTGCAGGAGCCTGACCCTCCCACACCCCCCCCTAATTCGTGTCTTCAGGGGAGAACGGGTCAGAATGGGTGACAGCGCTGGTTTTCCCCCGGAGGGTGCCTGACAACCCCCCTTGGAGGTGTCGGGGGGCTGGAAATGTCCTTTTTCTAGCTCTTCTGACCCCGGGACAGGCTGGGGGGGGGTGGGGGGAGCACAGCGACCCTTGGGACATGTGTCCCCCAACCAGGGTGTCCCCCACCCCGGGTGGAGGGGCCTGGCCCAGCCACAAACCCTTCCCTGGTTATATAAGCTGACACGTATGGCTCCTCTCTGGATGATGGTATAGATACCGTGCTGGGGGGTGGGGAGCACCACGCTGTGGGTATTTGTGCACGGGGGGGGAGCTGGGTTTGCAATGAGGAGAAGAAGAAGTGCTGGGGTGTCGCAGGACACCGCGCGGGTGCACCCTCAGTCGAGGGGGTGAAATCAGAGAGGCACAAAGTCAGAGCCTGGGGAAAGCCAAGTGGCTCGAAATCCTAAATCCTGGTGTCCCCTCCTTCCCTCCCTCCCTCCCGGCGGTGGTTGTGTCTGCGCTCAGCTGGGGCTCTGCTTGGCTCGTTTCGCACGCTTTCTCGTTAAAACGAGCTGTTACAGCTTCACGTTCCGATTGATCCTCACGATTTGTCAATGACCGGCGAGGCGGTTGGCGGCGGCGGCGGCCGCATGCGACTCCGCGTCCGTGTGGTCACAGGATTTCCATCCACCATCGACCGCCGCAGCTGCCGTCGGCATCAACAGATGGGCTGGAATCAATAATTTATTGTTGTGTTCGGATGAAGGGTTTGGGGTGGAGAAGGTGCGGTAAAAGAACAGAACAGAAGTGCTGGAGTTGAGAATGAGCGCGGGGAGAATAATTTAAGCGGCCCCAGAGAGGAGCCCATGTGTGAGGAGAGTGGGGCAGGGAGCTTGTCCCCGCTGGGGGGGGTCAGGAATAGCAAAATGCTCAGACTTTTCCCCCTGATGCCTCGTTATTCCACTTCTGTGCAGGGTGGGTGGTTGTGGAGAGCGCGGGTCCGGCAGAGGTGGCTGCAGAGGGGTGTTAAAAACTCACCGTGACCTCTGCTGGGACTCCAGACGGGCTCCTCACGCTCTGCCTGATGCTGACTCTTTAGATACTGCTCCCAAGGCAGAATGACCTCTGCCTTCTCTTGTCCCTTCTCTTGTCCTGCGACTGAGCGCGGCCCCTGCCCCATGGAGCCCACCCGCAGACGGGGTGGTTTCGTTAGGAAGAGCCGCCAGCGGGGACGAGGCTCCTGCAAAACTGGGAAATTGCTCCTTTTTGAAAACAGTCATTTCAAAATGCAAAAATCCTCCTCTCTAAGACCTAAAAATCCCATTCCATGTTACTCTCACTGCCCCTGTGCCGGCAGGAAGGTATGAGGACTTTATAAATAAAATATTCTCGGCAATTATTTCCAGGAGTGGTTTTTTGGTTTGTTTTTTTTTTTTTTTAAAGACAAACCAAAAACCAGAAGCAGTAATATTTTTCATTGTTGAATGTGAACTTTACAGGTGGTGGTCTCAAAGTTCCACCAATGAAACCTTCATTGCTAGAGAAGCAGGGAGCAGAAAATATGGAAAATGACTAAAAGTCATCACCATTTCTCTCTTCTTCCCCTTGATTTTAATACGCTGTTACTTATTTTTACTAGAACTCCCCATACAAATTTTAAAACTGGATGAAACGCCCCTGGGCGCAGTTCTCTGGTTCTGTGTGTTTGGGAACCAGCCTGAATCCGGGGAGGGGTTGGAAACTCCTGCAGCTTCTTGGGGCAAACTCCGCAATACCTGGCTCTTCTTGGCCATTGAGAGGATGTTTCTGGTGTTGGGTTTAGAGGTGTCAGTGCTCAGTATCATTAGGAATCGGATGTCTCTCGGGAGCCTGGTGCTGGGACGGGGCAGAGCTGGGCATCTCATCCCGAGGCTCTTGGTGGGTTTGATCCACTGGGGGGGGGTTAAGGTCACCCCTGTGTGGGGTCTGTCCTGCCTGAGTGGGAAAGAGCTCTCGAGGGCTGCAAACACTGCTGTTGCAGCCAGAGATGGACTTTTATTGAGGGTCCAGCCACATCGGTGCAGGACGGTCGTGTTAGGACAACCAGGAGTGGCTGAAGCCAGGGGAGGGTGATCTCTGTCTGAGCAGATCACAGAATCACAGAATGGTTTGGGTTGGAAGGGATCTTGAAGGCCACCCAGTGCCACCCCCTGCCCTGGGACACCTCCCACCACACCAGGTTGCTCCAAGCCCCCTCCAATCTGGCCTTGAACCCCTCCAGGGATGGGGCAGCCACAGCTTCTCTGGGCAACCTGGGCCAGGCTCTCACCACCCTCACACCAAACAAGTTCTTCCCCACATCTCAGCTCAATCTCCCCTCTTTCAGTTCAAAGCCATTACCCCTCGTGCTATTACTAAATGCCCTTGTAAGAAGTCCCTCCCCAGCTTTCCTGGAGGTGCCCCAGACCTTAGACCAGACCAGGTGTGTGGGGAGATGAGAGGAGGTGAAGATGATGATGCTCTGGGCTGCACGGGTTGTGCTCCAGATCAATGCAGGGATTCCCAGATCTGCTGCTCTGGAGAGGGGGGTCCTTTATTCTCCTCCCCCTTTTATTTGTCTGTATTTGTCCCACTTGTGATCACACCATCCAAGTGCTCCACAACATTACGTGAATTCCTCCAGATTGTGAGGGGTCTGGAGCACAAGTCTTATGAGGAGCAGCTGAGGGAGCTGGGGGGGTTCAGCCTGGAGAAGAGGAGGCTGAGGGGAGACCTTCTTGCTCTCCCCAACCCCCTGAAAGGAGGGTGTAGCCAGGGGGGGTCGGTCTCTTTTCCCAAGGAACAGGCGACAGGACAAGAGGAAACGGCCTCAGGTTGCACCAGGGGAGGTTCAGATTGGATATTAGGAAATTTTTTTACACAGAAAGGGCAGGATGAGAGGAAATGACCTCAGGTTGCACCAGGGGAGGTTCAGATTGGATATTAGGAAAAAAATTTACACTGAAAGGGTTATCAAGCCTTGGAATGGGCTGCCCAGGGAAGTGGTTGAGGCACCATCCCTGGAGGTGTTCAAAAGACGGGTTGACATGGTGCTGGGGGACATGGTTTAGTGATGTTTTTTTTTGTCAGAGCTAGGTTGATGGTTGGACTAGATGATCTTGAAGGTCCCTTCCAACCTAGATGATTCCATGATTCTAAACTTGTTGTATAGAACAACTGTTACCTCTCTTCTGTTTTATGGTGACGGATGGGCTGAGCGAACCTGGCAAGGAGTTGAGTTTGGGTTAGTGTCTGTGCACAGTAACTGTTTTGAACAATTATTTGTTCAGAAGTTGGGCTTTAAAAAGGAGAAGCTGAAGTGCTGCCCTTGGGCTCGCTCCATCTGCGTGGATGCCCAGGTCCTTCCTCCCGAAGCCCCAGCGCTCGCAGGGTCCCAGAGTGGCTGTCCCTGAGGGGGGGGACCAGCTTCTGCTGGTGGGATGGGCTGGGGATGGTCCTTGGGTGTCGGGAGGTGGCTGTCCCTGCTGGGGGGGACCACCTTCTGCTGGTGGGATGGGCTGGGGATGGTCCTTGGGTATCGGGATCAATAGTGGTTCTTTAGTGTTATTAATGTCAATTATTTAGTCTTATTGTATTAAATCTGTTTGTATTTCAACCCTCAGGTTTCTTTATTTTCCCCAATTCCTCTTCCCAGGTGGGGAGGGGCCATCAGGTGGGAGAATAATTGTCCAAAGGACAATAAATTGTTGTGGGTTTCTCAAACCAGACCCCATCTGGGCTCTGCCCTTCAACTCTGCTCAGTTTGCTGGGAACTTCAGCAATCTTCTCCTGGGGGTGGAGAAAATTACCAGCAACAAAGCGATAGGTATTGCTTGAAAGTGAAAATACTGATGCTGGAAAGTGGAAGGAAAAGGACAACGTGAGACAAGAGCTTTTCTCGGGGGCAGGTTCCTGGCGGTTGCGTCGCTCATTGCGCCTGCTCATTGATAAAATCCCCCTGTTCTAGACCCAGAATTTACCGCGGATGGAGGAGATGGGTGACTTCTCCCCAAGGCCTTTTCCAGCCGCAGGATTGCTTATTCCTGCAAGGATATTTTGGTTTAGCTTGAAGCTTTTTTAGGCTCTTGGGCAGAATTTGGGGGGCTGTTGCCTTTCTGCCCCAACCCTGTGCATTCAAAGCAAAAACTCTGTGTCTCTGCCCAAGTCACACAGAAACTCCCGTTGAAGGGCTTTCCCTCAAAGGAACTGAAAGACGTGAATGACTGAATCTTGCAAATTAATAAATGAGGAAATGTATTAAAGCAAAGATATTGCCTCAAAAGTGTTTTTTAATTTATTTTGACAATCAGCTTGAATAATTTATTAGAATATTTCATA